TGTGAGAGGTGTAGAAAGTCATCTTTCGAATGCGATCTAAAAAAATAGACCATTGCGTACGAAGAGGCCAAGGAGGGTCAAAAGCAGTCGATTGGAAAGCAAAAATAACACTAGAACAGTCGCTTTCCAGCCAAAGACAATGCCATCCCTGCTGATATGCAAACTCTACATCAATAATAATTGCTGATAATTCTGCATAGAAAGAGTTACAATGACCAATCTGATACCAAGATAAAAGTGTAAAACTTTTTTTCTTTTTTGACGGTACGAGAGAAATTTTATTGATAACGAAAAAGAAGTTACACTTTATCATTTTCCGAAGTTAAAGTTGGAGAAGACAAGCCCATGTTAGCAAAATTGTCCGCAACAAAATTTCCTTCATGGTATATGTGAGATGCGTAGTAAGTCATTTTTCAAAAATGAAACACTCCCGGTACTGTTCACTTTTAACGAAAAACCATGTTTTTACCTTTCCCTGGTACTATTCACTATACCTTTATTTGTCATTTTTCATTAAAACTAAAATATTTTTAGACTTTTCGTTAGTTTTCATTTTTGTGAATGTGGTCCAAACAAATACACCATTGCTTACGAAGAGGCCAATGAGGATCAAAATCAGACGACTAAAAAGTGTAAAACTTGATGAGAGTTTTTGGGTTTGTATTTTTGTGTTGTATTCTTCTGTCAAGTACCAGTATAAGCATATCTAGGTACACGAAATCCCCAAATTACAAAGCTATAATAAATAGGGAAGTTGACTCACGCAGAACAACATGCTGGATGGTGGATCCACACCTAAGACTATCGTAATCATTGACGCATGGTTGAATTGCCCAACACTAACAGAACTATTGAAAGTGAACGTTGGCAAAAGACTTGGAGTATGTGTCAGTTGACATGACGGTCAGCAAAGGTTTCCAATAGTTGGAGCAATAGTGCATACTCTTTCACACAAACATAGCCCTCTATATTTGGTCACGCCAACCTAATCCGTATGTATATTTTAGTGTACACAAAATATGGACTAGTGCATCACGTGTCATAATATAAATATAGGAATACTTCAAAAAAAAAAACCTTCTTCCTACTTCATTATGACATGTAATGTACTAACTTGTGTTATAGGTACATGGAAAAATCTCTCTTCTAAGGACTGTCAAATGTACATGGAAAAATCTCTCTTCTAAGGATTGTCAAATTTTATTGCCAATAGATGGTGGCAAAGAGGCACTGTTATAAATCGTGTTCGATTCCCCATTTAAAGTAGTGGTGAAATTAGATTGTTGATTTGAATTCATGCTTTGAACGTGTAATCAAGACTTACACAACTAATTAATTTGCAAAGTAGGCCAGTAATACTTGACCTATGAGAAGCTATATCAAATCATGATGTAAAACCCAAGAAATTAAATGAAATCATCATTTTCAGATGAACTAGTTTGGCTAAAATGCATCTGTTTTCAGCTTTCAACTTGCTTTTTGGAATGTACATAGCACTGGCCTACAAGTACTTTAGCTAGTGTTGGAAAATTTCTTCTGCATAATTTAGTCCAGTCAATTATTGATGGTCTCTCAGTGTTGGAAAATGGATGCATAGATGGGGAAAGAGATCCTCTCCGGATCTCTGTCCACCAAACTCAGTGAACCGGACCCTTAAAATTTGATCCAACGGCTAAAATTATTATAACTTTTAAAGGGGCTCCTGTTTTTAGCTGTTTGATCAAATTTCAAAGGCCTGGATCACTGGATTTGATGAGAAAGATTCGGACCCATAGATAGCTTTCCATTGCGAATTATTACAAGCCTACCAATTGCTTACTCAGAAGTCCTACGGGACTTGGCATCAGTCAAGCACTAGTTTGTGTATCCAATATCTGTTATTTTCAAACACTAATGATGAGTTTAAATATACGAAGAAATAGCACTTAAAGTAGTCCATAATGATTTTTTTTTTTTTTTTAAAGTGCAAGTAACAACTTTGGAATTTCTTTCAACTCACTCAATCAATGGTTCGAGATTACTCATTTCATCACTGAAAGCCTTCGGTAAAATCTCATTATAGACTTTGTGTAGGTCAACTGTCAAGTATCGATCGTCTACCATTGTTGCAAAATACTTAAGTCGCCGGTGTGAGAACACTTATGGTTTGTAACTCGGTATTTATATGTGCCTTTATGGGTGTGCCCTTTGATCATAGAGTACAATATGGTGTTTTGTGCTCAAAGAGGTAAGCACAAATAAAAAAATTTTGTGCCTCTGTTCTGAAAAAGTTTTCAGATGACTTTCCCCATCCATATTAGCCCAATTTTTGTTATTGTGCCCAATAGGTTATATTTTGAAAATGAAAATGTCAAAATTTGAAATAAATCAGAAAATTTCATAAAATCAAGATGGAACACACAACAAAATCCAATGTCTCAGCTGTAAGAAGGATCAAGTAGTAGAAATGGAAATATCACAATTCAGCAAAAAGATGTTCGCATGTTCCACAGACACAAACAAATTGTGCGCTACTGTTTATTTATAGACACTAAAAGTTTTTGTGCCTATATTTTGTCATACAATTGTCAGACCAATAATTATATATCTATATATATATATATATATATATATGCACTACTTGGCATGGCTTCGTGCCCAATAATGTGTTTGTGTCCATTTCTTTTTACACTGAGTACAATACATTGTATCCTTTATTGAATGGACACTGTTCCACCATATTAGTGTTCTCAAAGACACAAACTCTTCATTTGTGTACACCAAATCCCATATTTTTCGTAGTGTTTCAGCAACTTTTGGTAGGAACCTCACCAACCCAAAGTCACCTACATGTGCAATCATATCCTCATTGAGAAGAATATTGCTAGGTTTGAGGTTGCAATGAACTATTGGCGTCTCACAATGACGATGGAGATAATCCAATGCCATAGCAACATCAAAAACAATATTCAAACTCTGAGAAATTGTTAAGCTCCTTGGCCTCTCATTTGTCTCACCAATTGTATGAATTGGATATAGCCATTCCTCCAAGCTCCCGTTAGCCATGAACTCGTAAATTAAGGCCTTGAAGTCGTGACCGCGATAATCAAAACCAGAACATGCTGAGACTATCTTGACAAGATTACGGTGTCCAATATTTCGGAAAGCCTCGCACTCATAAATAAAACTTTTGTAAGCCCTGCTAAATGAACATGGTTGAGTACCTTGATCGCAATTGTAGTTTAACTTTGCTCAAGTATTCCCTTATAAACGGACCCAAAACTGCCCATACCGACCAAGTTGGTTGAGGAGAATCCATTTGTTGCTCTTAGAAGACTTTGGTATGACACATCTGGGGAAGTTTGTCTAAATCACTTTAAGTGCGATCTTTTTATCCCTCCGTGAGCAATAAAGGTACAAAAAGGTTAGTGCAAAAATAACTCCAAAAATCCCACAAATGAGAGAGAGAACCAATTTCATGGTTAAGCTCAATCCTTCCTTTTTTTGGATGCTGGAGAGTTGCACTTTGGCAAATGAAACTCAGATATGCCCCCAGAAAGCTTGCTATTTCCTTCAACTGATGTCGCCATTGCATTCTTGAACACTCCCTTGATCGGCAACATGCCCTCAAAATTGTTATAAGATAGATTCAGAGATTCCAAAACATTCAAACGTTTTAAGAATTCTGGAATTGCTCCTGACAAGTTGTCAGAAAGATAGAATTCTGTAAGAACTCTTAGTGAACTCAAAGTTGATGGAATCGTCCCATGGAAGAAATTTCCATGCATGTCTAGGTACTCTACTTTTATACAACTAACTACACTTGCTGGAATTTCACTGAATAACATGTTTTCAAAGATATCTATATACTCAAGATTTATTAAAATTCCTACGTCCTCTGGTAGGGAGCCGAGAAAATGATCTTGAGGTAAACTAAATATATACAAGTTCAACAGATCAATGATTTCTTGCGATATGATACCACTAAAACTGTTCTCACCAAGATATAAAAGCCTCAAATTCTGACACACTATTAAACTTGGCAGGATATTGCCTGGAAGTTGTTGCCTTCTAAGCTTAACTCATTTAATTGACTTAAATTTCCGAAAGAGGATGTAAGATTGCCAAAGAGAGAGAGTTCCTACTCGCATTTAATAGATATAACTTGTGAACCTTTCCTACACCCGTGGGAATGTGACCTGATAATTGGTTCTCAGCATCCCCAAAACCTCCAAGTTAGCCAAATTTACAACCTCATTCGGGAAACTTATATTTTATTTTGTGCAAAATGGAAATCATTTATTTATTTTTATTCTTTTATTTCTGAACGGATGGAAATCATTTTTAGAAATTAGATGTGGAAAAACACAGAATTAACAATTTGACGAGTAACATGATGATACTAGAAATCAAGTAAACATAACAAAAGGCATGAATTATTCATGGAAATTGTGAAATCAGAAGAAATTTGTACATGTTACTTGAGTGTTTTGTAGTCATTGGAGTAGCGATAAACTACATCAAACCAACTATCCATAGCACTTACAATAAGTATATTGAAACTGTTTTGATCAGTCAAAATTTTAAAAAATTAATCAAAATTACCAATTATGATTAAGTTTACGGGACTCCATGGAATTCATGTTTAATTGCGGGACTAGATGCATCCATTTCATTCAAATCAAGAAATACAACGCAATAAAATAACAAAATACCTGAATTCGAAGATAAAGCCAGGGAATATAGAAAACTTCAAGTCTTGAAGAAATGGGAGCATAGCCTTGCTTTTTGCAACAAAACAATCCCTTTTTTCAGAAAATTACAGGAAGACAAATAAAATTTGAAACAAATTACTTCAATTGAATAGGGAATCTGCAAATTGCTACCGCTCAATAATTTTGCAGAAGCGGCAATTATGTTTCATTTCCCTGCAATAACAACAAGTACAATTCTGTAACCGTTCTCCCCACTAACCTAAAAGACTAAACCCACTTCTTCAATTCCTTCTTATTTGTCAATCATAAACCAAGGGAACCTTATGACATTTAAACCTTAATTATCAATGTACCAAGTATATCGGAAATACATAAATAACGAAATTCCACTAACGAACTAAACAAATGGTCCTTCAATACATCCTTACAGAATCACAACTTACCTTCCAAATTGGACACAATGCAATAAGCAAGAATTGCAATGTTCTGAGACTTTTTCGGATCAAGCACACACCTAATTCAGAAAATTTCCCATAAAATTTGACAAAATGCAATAAACAATAATTAAATATCACTACTTACCTTCCAAAAGCGCAGACTTCATCAATGGTAACATTAGGCCCCCTCAACAAATTTCAAATTCTGCACACCAAATCAATCCGATCCAATGAGCAATAATATAATAAAAAGGCATACAGAGATCCAAAATGTTGAAATTACAATGAAAAATCAAATCATGCTTTAAAGAAATGCAACATATATTCATGAAAAACTTGAAATTTTGAGAACAATTCGCTTCATTCATTAGAATCAAAGTAAGGAGATTGAAGCCAAAATTTGAAACAAAAACCATAATCGAATTAACTAAATTATATCACTTGAAAAGGATAATCATTAAGAAATAAAACGGATTGAGAAGTACAATCATGACCTACCCCCAACTGCTTCGAGAAGAATAATTGCGTCGATTGCTTAGCTGACAAAAGGGTCTCATCAGGTAATGGCACTCCAGTCAAATCTAAGCCAATAGGTACTTCTTCATACTTAAAATCAATCTCTAGTTTATGTGAACATATTCAGTTATACAAATATCCAAATGTTATATAATTACTAATTTCCCAACAAAATTTCTCGATTATACAACACACAGAGCAGCTCAAATTGTTAAACATTAACCCAAAGAAAATATGGGAAAATTAAAAGACTTTTCCTTTTAATTTTCCCACCGTTTCTCAGGCACCTGAAATAAAATTCAGAAAACGGAAGCAGAATTAAAAGAAACCATCGATGGAGGGGGCGAGGTTGAGGCCAATACCATCGCCGAGAAGCAAAGTGATGGGGTAGCGTTTGGAGGGTGAGGCTGCAGAGCAACTGATCTTACCCACTCTGCTTTCATCGACCGCTAAACAGAGAAAAAGGAGACAAAAATATAAAATAAATAAAATAAATTCTCGTATAAATAAATTTGTAAAAGTGGGAAAATTGGCGGTGATTACAATTTGTAAAAGAAGCAACTAATCCTACCCACTCTGCTTCATCGATGGATAGCTCACTTGGTTTGCTAAAAATATTGTATAAATAAATTTGAAACCCCTCATACCTTAAATTGGAATTTCGAAACTGAAAGACGAAGGCAAGACGACGACACGGTACGGTTTGCCGGCATTCGTACGAAAACAGCTCGCCGGAATTAGCAGACCTAGAACCTAGCCGCTTAGCACTTGAAATCGATTTGTTGGGTTCGAATTTTAAGTGTGGGAATTCGCTTTGCTGGTTTGAGGGTTTTAGGTTTCGAATATTTTTCTGTTAATTGCGAGCAACAGTGCTAAATGGGACGATGTTTTGCCAGATGAGGCGAAGAGGCGGAGGGGAAGATTCACTCACTCCAATCCTCCAAGAACCCATAATTTTTTCAATCCTTGGAACCCTAGAAAAATCACCAGAAGATTAATTTCTTTGGTAAAGAATTTTTAAAAATCTAAATAGGATAAATTGCTTACCTTCCGTATAGAGGGTTATGGAAAATGCGAGGATGGAGTGGTGGTACGTCGCGGTTCTCGCGTGTTACATCGAATTTGGGTGAACAGGTGGAAAAGCAATTTACAGAGTTGGCGGTGGTTTTGTTTGATTGAAGAATCTCGTTGAAAGATGAGGAAGGCTACCGAAAATGGAGCACTGGAGCAGGAAGGAAGAGATGCAGGAGATTGGGATGAGTCGATTCGTTCGATGGTGTGAAAACAGTTGATGTCGAATTCCATAAACCACCGAGAAAAGCATGAACGACAAATCACAACACAGATACACATGCTAACATGGGAAATTTCGTAATTTTACTGTGCATATGGAAAACCAAAGGGCAACTTGAACAATAATATGGGCGCAATTCCGTCTTTACACCGTGCTTAGGAACATTAAACCTGTTGCTGCTGCAATATTTCTATTTTGCAAATATTTGAGAAGAAGTTGATTAGTATTAGTGTCGTGCCACTTTTACTTAAAAGTTGAAAAGAGTTTGAGAGGCAAAGTGTAGAGATAAAATTGTCTACTAGTTGATGAGTTTTGTAAGTCTCTTAGGTTGTGTTTGTTGTACCGAACTATCTCGGACTGAACTAGCTTTGGGCATTAAGTTTGACTGGTTTAGATTAGATTAAGTCACACTAAATTAGTGAACTGTTTGGTGAAGTGTCGGACTAAAAAATAAAATAATTCATATATTATAATATTATAATATTTAATATATGTCTAATAATATTGAATTATGAATTCAAGCTTTTCCTTCTATACACTCTTCTACAGTTCTACGTCTCTCTAGAGAATACTTTCTTCCTCTTTGGTTTCATAGCCATTATTTCCTTTCCTCCCATCTTTTTTCCTTCAAAATGCTTCAAAGTTCAATTCCATTTTTTTTTTGCAAAACACTTCAAAACCATTTTCCTGCAAAATCATCTCCAAAGCTACTCTCTCCTCCCTCTTTATCTCTCCATCTCTTTTTATCCCCAAAGCTACTCTCTTCCCTTCTCTATCCATTTTTCTCTGAAATTTTCTGGGAAAAAGAAAAATTATCTGGGAGATTTCTAGGAAGTTTCAGGAATAAGGAAGATTTTTTCTATTGAGATTGTTATTGTTATTGTGTTGCTTTTTCTTTTCGAATTTTGGTGGCTGGATTTTGAGATTTAGGTTGTGGGTGGGATTGAGTTTCAGATCCGGCCATGGGTGGGCAAACAGAGTTGCCCAGAAGCATGCTTGCAGACTTGCAATGCAAACATCGTATGCAGTTCTGGAAACGGGACCATGGTTTTTGAGGGGGTTCACTATGACCGGCTAATCCCATGGTTAGTCAAGACGAGTGAAGGTTAGTGTCATTAACGTTAGTCTCAGTGGGTAACAAATAGGGGACCGGACTAACACTTAGTCCAGTCCAATCCAATGAGAGTTAGCGAGGGCAAACAAACGCGGCCTCAATGTTTATCCTGACTTAGTACACTCCATTTGTTTATTTAAATGCATATATCTAGGATATTTTCATAAGATGTCGATGTGTAATTAAAGTTAAATAAAATTAAATGTATAATCTAAGGATTTATACGACAAATTTCTCATATAGGAATTAAAGTTATACATATGTAATTCTAAGGATTTATCTATATGAGCTATTAATAACTTGAACATATACCAGATTCAGTCAGCATGTATAATCTTAAAAGTATTATTCCTAATTTCTTAATTGTTGAAAAATAAGGCCTTGTTTGGTCTCTAGGATTGGAATGGAATGGTTAAACTACTGTATTCATGGTATATTAAAGATAGAGGTGAATGCTTTTTCATATTGAGGGGATTAGAAGGGGGATAAGACATGATGGAAAATAACCCCTTCTGATCCTTACCATTTTGGCAAATTGGAATGGAAAATAATCCATCTCCTACCTTCAAGTAACCCACAAATTTTTCATTTCTTTCGTCAACATTCCTTGAATATAGTGGGTTATCCATTTCAATCCAATCTTAAAGACCAAATGAGGCCACAATTTTTTCATTTCTTTCCTGAACATACCTTGGATATAGGTCATATATATCAACATGCTTCAAATGTCTTAATTTACAACTTTCTTATGTTTACCACTTTTAAATATAGGTTACATGGCTTGATAACATTGCACATATGCACTGCACCGAACATAGATAAAAGTAGAAAGTTTCATGTCTGCACATGTGCTCCCCAAGCTGTTTTAGTGAAAAATTGCATGTCTGTACCTTTATTTCCTTCATTTATCTTCCTGTTTAAATTATGAGCCATGTATTAAATTTTCTCAACCTTTAAGATGTTTTCGGCTTCCTTACCATGATATTACACTTGGGGCTGCATGGCCTGAACTGTTCGTTGACCATAAAGGAAAATACTGGGATTTGCCTGAGTCAATTTCCTTAGATATGTCATCACTTGTTTCCGAATCTGGATTGCGGTACCGCATTGGTGTACATAAAAACATCCAGGCAGTTAATTCCGTAGATTCTGCGCAAGGGCTGCCATTTCTTACGAAAAAAGCCAAGATATTTGGAGGCAAAATGAGACACGAAAAGACATCATGATACATAAAGAAAAGGGTTGATTTTGGCGGCCATCTTATGATGTACGTCTTAAAAAACCTCATTCTTCAGTATTTGGAATTTTTGGTAATTTTACACGTTATTTATATTTTTTGTGATAACTTGTATTATCTCATTACATTTTTGTTGGAAGTTTCATACTAATACTCAGGTGCAATATCGTATAACATTTAGCTTATACATTTGCCTGTTTTTATACATGTATACATGTTTTGGTACCTCTTAGTGTCACTTATATTGTATGTGTAGTTTTCTACTTTAGTATTAAACCCAGTACATGTAATGAGTATGTCACCTCCTTTCATCTGTTCCGTGGTTGTAGATGTGCCTGCAGTAAAAGAAACATCATAAATAATAGTAATAAAATATAATTCTAGAGACAAAAGTTCTAACGGAACGATTCAATATTTTTGTTTTGTGTTTATGAGTCCAGGTCTGTTGCCGACAGTATGCAATCTCTTAGAGCACTTTCAACGTTGGCTTTTGCTGGGGAACAGGCCAACAAACAGGGCACGAAAGCTCAGCCTATTGACTCCAGTGTGTGGGAGTCCGAGGGACAGCGTAGGGCCCGAGCACCAGGCCTGTCACGAATTGCCAGCCCGCGAGCCCGAAGGCTATCTGACGCAAGGCTGACGTCAGCCAGGCGTCAAACCCTTTTTTTATTTTTTTCTGTCAGGCGCGTGCACTGCACCCGTGTGTGGGGGCACGTCACCTGACATGTTTTCAATGGATGGGGCCCGCAGCGCAGTTTCAAATTGTTACCGTTGGGAAGCCACGTGGCTTCTCATGATTCGTTGGATCTCAACGGCAAGAAAATGTGGACCGTCAGATTTGCAATGGTAAAAAAACATAAAAAAATCTTATTTAATATCAACCGTTGGATCTAAGATCAATGGTTGATATTATTCTCCTTTATAAATATATAAAAAAAAAGGTTTTAAAATTCAGAAATGTTACCGTTGTGCCACATGGCACAATCTGGAGTGTTGGAATTCAATTTTTTTAAAATCCAACGGCAGAGATTAATTAGTTGAATAAAAAATTTTAAAAAATTGTAAAAAATGAATAAAAATCCGAAAAAAATTAAATTTTTTTTTTTAAACTTTTCTATAAATACCTTTTCATTATCATCTACCTTACACCACAGCTTCTATCAAGGTTTACAGAATGGTTGGGCTAGCATATCTGACCCACAGCTTGGATGACTCCACGGGAATGTGAGGCTTTGCCCATTCTTGCTTTGTCATCTCTCCTTTTACGCTCCTCATCCTATTCTCTCTCATTTTGGGCCACCTGGAGATTGAATATTCTTTCTGATTGGTTAAACAATTCTTCCTCTTACTGATCAATTTCCCACATCATCCTTGAAGAAGAAGACATTGTAAAAATGAATCAGAAACTATGAATAATGATAGAGATATTGTTGACCGGTGCTTAGTAGTTTTGGGATTGGTCAAGTATGGTACAAACAGTGCTCCCCTAACTTCCTAAGTAAGGGAAGCTCCTCGATTGGGGACTTGCAAGATCGAAGCCATTGAGTAATCATGAAACTTTCAAGTACCGAAGTGTGGTGTCGCCTTCACTTGTCTTCTCTGTCCTGTAAGTAGATGTGGCATCTTCTCTTGGAAGTACTTTTCCTTCATCCAAGAGTGGTATCTTTAGTTGGCGTTGACGCACAAGGTAATGTATCATTTTCATTTGAAGCTTACTTGTAGTTTCGGGTTTGGTCAAGTGCGATACAAACCATATAGTAGGAGTCCCCCAAGTCTCTAAGCGAGGGGATCTGCTGAAGGAGGTGACAGACAAGGTAAGCAATCAGGGTTCCAAGCAATCAGTCTTAAATCGGTAGGTTGATCTTGGGTTCCGGCTGATTGTACTCATTCTCCCTGTCTCTCATTCAGCAACAAAGATAAAAAGAAGAAACGAGGAGAAGAGATGATATGAGGTACTCTTGTTTTTGGAGAAGACGGACGAATCGGCATGTGCTTTGTTGTACTTGACTTTCCATAGGTGTATTCTCCAAAGGAGCGAGCCGACTCCAGGATTTGAGGGTCAAAACAAAGTCCGTCAAACCTGGAGTATGTTCGAACCTGATGATATGAGATACTTTTGCTGTTTGACAAAATAGTAGATGTGGTATGGCGAAGCTTTGTTCTTCGACAACGGTGTTAGCAAAAAGTTATTGAGGCTTCTCGATCTCTTCAATTAGAGCAATGATGCCGAGCTTGGGTCTTTTATTTTGTTGAAGTTTGCATGTTGAAACTTCATGGGTGGATCCTGTAGGTTGAAGTAGTGCTCCCTTAATTTCTTGAGTGAGGAAAACTTCTCGGTTGGGGACTTGAAAAATCCAAGGCACTGAGTAGTCGTGAAATTTCTGAGTACCAAGATGTAGTGGTATATGGTAAGAGTCCCCCAAGTCTCCAGTCGAGGGAGGTGTTTTGCTAGTAAGCAATTTTCCAAACAAAACTTCACCATTTTCTTTTCTAAGCGGTTGCCCAAAACTCCTCCTTCATATATATTTTGTATGAAAGTTGTTAGGCCCAAAGAAATGGAGGCCTAGGCTCATTTCTTTCTTTCTTTCTTTCCTTTTTTTTTTGTATTTTTTTTTTTAATTTTCGATTTTTTTTTTTGGGTGAAGCTTTGATGTTGAAG